AGCGTATTCAAAGCTGCACTTATCGCTCTAACGGAAGCCGCGTTATAGTTTCTGATTTCTAATACGTTAACCCCTACCTTTACAACATATTTTGATAGCCAGACTGCGATTAAGTCTTTACAATTCAATAACATCACCTGAAAGATGGCAATCAAATGTGCAGAAAGATCTTAAATAAACTCTTGACTGTATAACAAAAATCACAGGGAACAGGATAGTGAACAAACTGGTTAAAGAGAGTCCAAGCCACAGAAAACTCTGCAAATGACATGGCTAAGACTAGCAGAAGAAGATCAGAAGGTCCAACAGGAGATGGCAGAGCAAAACCACGTCCAATGTGATGAGAAAAATCTGGTCATTAATTGAGATAAAAAGAACTAAATCTCTACTTCTTGTAAACCAGACTTCGGTAAGTAGAACAACCGACGTAATAACCGAGTACTGTCTTAAGGGGACTATGGTAGAAGATACGCTGCTTCTTTCGCAAATGTAGGGACTTGGATGAGGAGGAATCGAAGTCTCTCACAGCCCAACTCTCAGGGCGAGCCGTAATCCTTTTTTCTCGCCGCTTGGTTTGAACATTTCAAATGGTGAAAGGAATCTCTTTATGAGAACCAACATGGGTTTGCAGTGTGCGCGACTTGGACGCAAGGGTAGGAATTTAGTTTAGACTCGCAAGTGTAACAGCATACCCACAAGCTTGACTAGACCCCTTTAAACCACATTACATCCCACTTTTGGAATAGTCTGAGTTAATTTTAAAATTAATTCCGATTTAATTAAGTTGTATGGCGACCGTAATAGCCAAGTGATTAGCATTGCGTATTGTCACTCTGAAAACCGGAGCTCAAGTCCTGGTTCGGCCAAAAACCAAAATTATGGAAAATTGACTTTTTTAATTGCATTCGCTCCTCGTATGGGCTTTTCAAAGCCTCCGAGTGTGTTTCTCACGTGAAATAAGAGCTCCTCATAAAAATCCATCTACCATTTAGAGGCGGCTTAGAATAAACTTCAGGTCCCCCCATTTGTTGGAAAAAAATTCAAGACGCTTATCACAAATTCGAGGGGCTCTACGAAAAATTGCTTCAGCGGGTGATTACAAAAAAATCAACAATACTTTGGTACCTACAATATATCAACATCAATTTAGGCAACTATTTCGGAGAGGTTTTGTGACTGATCTTTTCATACCGTTCATGTACTTAAAGTGTGTAGGTACCAGAAGGAAAATAGATAGACCCATAAAAATGTATATTGATCAGGTCAGAATACCGATTTGAGTTGATTTAGCCATGTTCGCCTGCCCGTCTAGAGCCTCAGTTTTTGAGATTTTTCAAAGACAATTGGTATACAGATACACTGGTACATTCAAACAAACGTTTTTAGGAACCAGGCATATCGGACCACTACAATATATAAATAAATGATAGATTTTTCAGTTAGGAGTTTTGGGGTCATAAATTTAAGAGCGTGAAATTCGGTATTAGACATAAGATGGTCTAAATAATGGTATAGAAAATCTTTGAAATCGGAGGAATATGTCATTTTCTGGCCCCTTTTTTGGTACTAGTTTTGGACCATGATAAATATTTCAAACAACATATGCAACTGTTGGGCGACAAATCGTTTTAATTAAAATCGCTGTTTCAGATTTTGGATGCAACAAAAACTAATTTTCAATGAAGACAAAATTTATTGAAAAAAATAAAAAAAAAAAATTGAAAACAAATTTGAAAAAAAAAATTTAAAAAAAACTAACCTAAATTAAAGTGCTATTTACTCGCTTATTCTCACACTCATCTACATACATACTCGTATGTACGAAGATAAATAAATAAAAGCACTTGTGTTGATAAAAAAAAAGGCACTTTTTATTGCTTTATTTAAAAAATGGAGAAAATTTTTCAAATCTATCATATTTTAACGACCCATAATTAAGTATCATCAGTGTGTCAAGAGCTACTTAACAAGCACAAGTGTTTTTTTTTTTTAAATAAAAATTAAACATATATTAGTAATAAAGTAAGGCAATATATGATTTTGTATAGACTAATAATAAATTAAAAATTATACACATTATTATGACTTTATTAATAATTTATTGCTGACATTTTATTGAGCCTCTGAAAATTCAAATCAACTTTTTATGCATATTAATTGGTTTAATTGCTTAGTTTTCAAACCGGTTTTGGAAACGATTAAAGTTTAATATCATATTTTCATAAAATACAATTGAAATCCACAATAATCATGACTAAGCAGGTTGATGTTAATATTCATAAAATAAATGTTTTGCAATATTCATTCAGCACGTGGAGTTTTGTTGGATTTTATAAATTACACATTACAAATTAAACACTTTTTAATTGCAATTTGACTTTAAATATTTAAACACAATATATAGAATTAAATAAATTTTTTTTATATAATTTTTTAAATTAGCTGAATACTTCAGGTAGTTATGGCCTGATGTTTTGCTAAAAAAAAGAACCAACAATAGTTATAAATGAGAAACTAAAACTTTGAAATAGTTTTATATGAAGAACTTCTTTAGTTTTTTTAAGAAAAAAATACAGAAAATTTTAATTCATTTCAGAATGTTTATTATTATTCGAAAAAAAACTTATTAGGCATTCATTTTTTAAAATTATCTCTTTCAAATGTTGGCCTCGGCTACGTCTCAGTATGTCCCTCCGTTGTGTCCAATTTGCGATGACTCTTTCGAGCATTTCGATTGGTAACTGGTGAATGAGAAGCGTAATGTTTTGCATAGACTTCAGATGTCCAGCGATGCAATATCACACTATCTTGGTGAACGACAAAATACTCCGGGTTGGCTGGCCAAAGCATACCGCATGGCGGCTTTGGGGGTAGCGTCGGCATACCGTACAGTATCAGAGGAAGCTATAGCTGTAATAAGCTTAAAACTCTGGTCCAGTGGCAAGCCCGATGGGAAGAAAGAAGTCATGGCCGATTGACGGCCAGATTAATAGCAGACGTAAGAATATGGACAACTAGAAAATTCGGGTAAGTAGACTACTACATTACCAAGATGCTGTCTGGTCACGGATATTTCAGGAAATACCTCCATAAAATAGGGAAAGCTGAAGATCCGTCATGTGTCTTTAATGATGCTAACGAAGATCACGCCGAGCATACAATCTTTCAGTGCACTCACTGACAAGATGCCTTGAATCAGACTTGAAATCACAGTTGGAGAACTAAGGGTAGATAATATTTTCTCAATTATGCTACAAAGCGAAGCAAACTGGGTAAATATAAAGGAGTTCGCAGAAAAAGTACTATGAGCAAAAAAGCGGGACTTAAAAGCAGGTGGCGAGATATAATCTCACGATGAGAAAAATGGAACGCCATCCTGAAGTAATGCGAAAGCGGTCCCAGGGTGGGCGACGGTTCTCTAGAGGAGAGTTTTTTAGTGACGTACAAGTGGCACATACCATTGATGTGGTGACACATAGCGGGTAGCCTGAAAGAGAGCTCAAAAAGGGGGTCTTTAAGAAGATACATTTACTAACTCTTCCAATGGGTTCCAATTCATTCGTATATATCCTAATGCTATCGATTGGTGTATCGAAGCAATTACTCCATTCCTCCGCTCAAGGAATTTGTGGTATTTATAAATAGATTCTAATAAGAAGAGTTGAGCAGCAGCGGTTTGTGCTGGTTGATGTAATATTGTATCTTTCTGGGACTAGACCCTAGAACTCTATTGAGAAGGTTAAAGTTATGTAGCCCTAAAATTAAAGGGTATCAAAACAGGTATAAGGTACCAGTAACTAAAATTAAGGTTTAAATTCCTAAATGTTGCCTTAATCACAAGCCTTAAGTCAATCCCATTTAAAGTTGGCAGGTTCATTATCGTTACTTCATACCTTTGGTTGAATAGGATGAGTTCCAGCGGAATTTAATTGACACATAGTCGATTAGACCTGTGGGATAGACCAGTTAGCTATGCTCCGAAGTGTGCCCTGCATCAAATCGCATAGAGTTTGTGGAAGCTTACCCCTATAAGCTGCGAAAATAACTTTGGCGTAAACTGAAAAATTTGTCTGGTCAAGATCTGGCAAGTTGAGCAATAGCTTTCCACCTACCACAGTGAAGTAATAATGATAAAGAGCTATATATTCATAGATGAAACAAAATGTTGGGATGAGAGTTTGATTTCTTTCTTTTATTCCTTCGCTTGCGACGCAATAAATACAAGAGCAAGAAATCCTACTTACACCGCTGCCTTTTTAGTTTGTAATATTTGTAACAACAATCTGTTATGTCTTCTGATTATTATCGTAAAGCAATTTGAAAAAAAAAATTAAATATTACTTTGTAAAATAACAACGCCATTTGTTTACCAATTGTATATACGCAATTTATTTATCTTAAAAAGCGCGCCGATCAGTTCTAAGCAAATGAATAATCTTCCTTGTACCATTAAAAATACATAAAAGTAAAATTACTTCATTCAAATTCGCTACAATATAAGTGTTTTTTGTCTACGGCTTTCTAAGCTTTCAAGGTTAAACGTGATTCACCTGCCAATAGCCCGAATACACCAAATTAGATCGCATAAGAAGCAAACAAAAATCAATTGTGAGATCTAAGTGTGCAAAATGTGTAAAAATAAGGGCAATAATAAAAACTTAAAAATAAAATAAATAATAATTATAAAATTTTCTGGTAAGAATGTAACAAACGAACCCAAATCCCGCCTAACAGACCGAAGGGTACAAAGATAACCGCAAAGCAGTGACCTGTTTTTTATTTTAATTATAAATTATAAATAAAAATAAAGTAGAAGAAATATTTTTACCATTGCTTCATTTCAAAGATAAAGAAAAAAATATTCTTGCAGCCGTAAAAGTAAAAAGGCACTAAACCTTAAAAGCAAAAAAAAAATTTGTATGGAAATCATATTATTTTTATCAAAGCTCAAAGCTCAGTATTTATTTTTATAAAAAATAAAAAAAACATATAGAAGGGTAAAATATATGCTTAAGATACACATTTATAATAAGTACATATATTTACATAGAAATTTTTTTATTTGAGCACAAATAAATCGAAAGACTTAAGCGGCGAACTCGCTCAACCTCAGGTAGCCTCAACACATCTACCCTGAATACACCATTCTTCAGAAATACATACTAATCAACCACAAAGACGTCATATGGCACAACAGACATAACTTCATTTATTTGTCGCAGCAGCATTGGGCCCCAATATTGGCGTGTTTCGGGCAGGAAAACTTGAAAGATTTGACGCCAATATTGATTAACAATATTAACGGCAAGCTCATCTGTAAATTAAAGAACACAAAGGAAGAGTAACATTTTTATATAGCAAATGAAGCAATTTACATGATTATAATTAAGATAAACTCAAATAAAATAAATAAATAAATATATTAAAAAAAATAATTACAAGATAAACCAAAATCAGGTAAAAAACTAAATATAATTTCAATTAAATCAAATAAAATAAATTATATAAATTGAATTAAAGTAAATAAAGTAAAATTGAAAAAAAAATTATTAATGTGGTATATTATAAACTATAAGAAGTATAACAAACAAAAATATAAAATGAAATTAATATTTATAAAGAAAATAAAATATATAATTAACATAAAATAACACGAAATAATATAATTAAACTAAAATAAAATGAAATAAAATAAAATAAAATAAAAAAATACATAACAAATACAAAAATCAATAATATAAAAAAAAATTATAAAAAGTCAAAAAAAAAAAAATAAAATAAAATAATATAAAATAAAATAAAATAAAATTACATAAAATAAAATTAAAAAAAAATAAAAGAAAATAAAATAAAATTAAATTAAATTAAATTAAATTAATATATTAATTAAAATGGAATAAAATAAAATAAAACAAACTAAATTAAAATAAAATAATATAAAATAAAATTTAAAAAAAAATAAAATAAAATAACTTAAAACAAAGTAAAAAAAATTTAAATTAAATTAAATAAAAAATAATTAAAGTAAAATAAAATAAAATAAAATAAAATAAATTAAAATAAATTAAAATAAAATAAAATAAATTAAAATAAAATAAAATAAAATAAAATAAAATAAAATAAAATAAAATAAAATAAAATAAAAAAAATAAAAAAAATAAAATAAAATAAAATAAAAAAATTAAATTAAATAATATAAAATCAAATTAAAAATTTAAAAAATTAATAATATAAAGAAAAATAAAATAACATAAAACAAAATTAAGTATTTTAAGATATCAGTAAATAATATATTTAAAGCAAAAAATGAAAAAATAATAATAAATGAAATTAAAGTAAACTAAAACAAAACAAAATTAAATAAATTAAAATATAAATAAAAATTTAAAATAAAATAAAATAATATAAAATGAAATTATAAACAATTTTAGATTTAATTATTTTAATTAAAAAAATAACATAAATTTAAATAAATTAAAAATAAAAATTATAAACGGAATAAATAAAATAAAATTACATAAAATAGAATAAAACTCAATAAAATAAATAAGAATTCATTAAAATGAATTAAATCGAAATATTTAACAAAAGAAAATAAAGTTAAATTACATTTATTACAATATAACTAAACTGGAAAGCTTTTGGAAAGACTGCTAGAACCAAGACTGGAAGCAGCTGTTGCTAGCGCTGGAGGACTCTTGGCAAAGCAATATGATTTTCTGCCGTGGTAAAACGCATAGAAAAAATTTCAACAAGGTTGTCACAAATTCAAGCGAATAATCCTATTCAGCACTTTGCTTTCAACAGTAAAAGGACATGACTGAAGCCTTACAGAATGAATTCTGCATACCCCGGTGTCTTAGACTAATGATGAGGAGCTACCTTAATGCGAAAATCTTACTTTTCCAAACTATATGCGGGCAGCGAAATACAAGGCGACGATAAAAGTAGCGTAGGACTCTATCCTCGGACCAGCCCTCTGGAACGTCAGCTACGATGCCTGGAAGCATATATCTCGGGGGAGATGCTGACGACATTGCCGCGATAGTTATCGCGCGTGATACAGAAGACGCACGCGTAGAATAATTTTGAAATGTACGATTTTTATGAAATTAGTCTCATTACTTAATTGTCACACCTCGTAGTCCCGTGCGTAAAAAATTAACTTAGATATCATAGTTTTTCGACACCCAAATAGTACACAATTTTAAAAGTATTTTCACTCACTCAATGTTGGATCCGGAAACAGGCCAGTGGCAGTTAATTTAAAATCACCAACTTTCGGTTCAGCATCGAATTCTGTCATACGAACGAAACGATGGCCGTCAGCTTCATAGAAGCCACCCTCATATTTTTGGTCTATATTCACATCAACTGTATGCGGAAAAATAGCAAATCAAATTTATTTCATATACATACATATATTAATGTAATCACACAAATAATATACCACAACATATGCATATATACTACATATGTATGTCTGTTTGACAGAGCTTACCCAATGACACATTGAATACACCCTTTGGCCGCAATTGCACATTATTCAGCACAAATTCAGCCTTATAATTGCCCACTATGCGCATCTCTGGCACCAGCGAGAGTGCTTTCATTTTGATTTTGCCATCGTTGATTTTCAAATCCAATGTTTTTATGTGGGTCTTCGAAAAGCCATATATTTGTGCCTCACGCATGAATATACGTCCACGTATATTGCCATTTTGATATTGAAAGGTCGTGCGATTGAGTTTGAAAGGATCGATTGTTGGTATATTCAATTGCTTATCGCCATCTTTTACACGTTCCAAGGATTTTTGTAAAAGATTTTTAATACAATCGTTGAACTGCGAACTACTTAGCTTACAAATTGGCAAGTCAGCGGCTGGAAGGGAATAAATTATTGATTAAAACGTAAAAAAATAAAATAAATAAAAAGTTCATAAAATTAATTATCTCTTAGTTAAATTACAAATAAACTTAAAAAAATATTTAAAACGATCTCAGTCGAATAGATTTTATTAAAAAATTCAAAAATTGTTAAAATCGCAAAAAATGGCAAGTCGAAAGGTTTGACAGAATGAGAAAAAGGTCAAATCAAAGATCTCTCGAGTCGCCAAATTTCCAAAAAGATTGAACGCTGTCCGTATGTTACGTATGAAAACCGATTTAAGTCGTATGCAAAGAACAACAGAGGTCGCACTTATAGAAAACGAGGTAGAGATCACTAAAGCCATCCATTTACTATACTTTATTCACATATATTTATATATATGTATATATATATAATCGGCGGTCTGTAACCGCTGAAGCGATTTTCGGATGAGCTCCTCCTCCAATTAGTGGTTTTGCGTTTTGAAAGTTTTCCGACAAATGGGGGGACCTCCGAACGGCCTTTATTTCATGTCCGAAATACACTCGGAGGGGTAGACATTTTCTGCCGAGAGCAACCGCATTAAGAAAATTTAACTTAATTTTTTATTTAAATTAATTTACTATAGCTGTTTTGGATGTTAGTACGGCACCAGGACTTAAACCCGAGCCTTCCGGATGGCATTACGCAATGCTTACCACTCGGCTACCGCGGCAAACTACTCGAGTATCGCGGCCTACATACATATAAAGATTATCAGAAACCAGAAAGAATGCAACTATAGTTTTCGCGAATTAAGAAAGGAATAGAGGAAGAGATGAGTCTCAGTAGCACAGTCGCTAAGACAATGATATTGTGGGTAGTTCAATATTCTACAACTTCATTTCGCATTCAAATATAAAATAGTAGATTTTAAAATTACTGGAAGAGAGTGTCTACCAAATGCTTTGGGAAGCTTTTGTCCCTCAAAATTTTGGAAATATGTACATACACGTATTTGAATGTAGTAAAAGGTTCGTTCGGTTTTTTTTTATTTTTATTTTTTTTTTGATTTTTCAAAATATGATAACTTTGAGTACATTTGTCTGAGTTAAGTGTGCTGCTTTGTTCGTAAAATTGTTGCCAACGAGCTGCCAACTTCATAAACCACTCTCGTAGAAAGCTGCGTCCCTATTGGCAAAAAACTCGCAGAGCCAATTTCCACAGGCCTCTCTTGAGGCAAACTTCTCACCATTAAGCGCATTCGTCATGGATGGGAAAAGATGGTAATTACTTAGGGCCAGGTCCGGACCATAAGGTAGGTGCATTAGGAGCTCCCATCCGAGCTCCTGGAGCTTCTGGCGCGTCACAAAAGACGTGTGTGGCCTGGCGTTGTCCTGATGGAGCACAATCCGACATCTGTTGATCAAAGATGGCCCCTTCTGGATGAATGCTGCCTTCAAGCGGTCCATTTGTTAACAGTGGAGGGCCGAATCGAGCATTTGGCCATAGGGGAGCAGCTCGTAGTAGATGATTCCTTGCCAATCCCACCAAACACACAGCAAAACCTTCCTGGCCGTCAACCCGGTCTTGGACACCGTCCGAGCTTTGACGACGACATTTTCTTAAAGCTACTCAAAATAAGACGAATTTTTCTTGGTCATTAGAATAGACGCGCTTTGGATTTTTAATTTTTATACTTCAATTATTACTTGGAGTTACTATTTGATTTATTTGAAATAAAAAAAATTCAGTAATGACTGCTGCCTCCTTTGTTAGTAATAACTTCATAAATCCGATCTGTCATAGAATGATACTAGGAATCTATATAGCCCAAGGAAATCTCGCTCCAAGCATGTTTAATAGCTGCAGTTAATGTTTCCTTACCTTCGTATCGTAAGATCTGGAGAATATGGTGGCCAGGTCATGATATTAACGTTTTAACTCGAAATAAAAGACTTTACTACTCGAGAGTTATGAATAGGAGCATTGTCTTGTTGAAAAATCCAAGGAATTGATCCAAAAAGATTTTTTAATTTAAGATATACGGACTCCAACAAAGTTTGGATTTAATCGCCGTTTATCTTTTGATCGATAAAAACCAAGTTAATTGTTCCATAAAACGTGATAGCACTTCACACTATTATGCCCCCTTCTCGGCTATGGTGGCTCATCTTTCCGCAACTCGTGATAATAATATTGAAATCCATCAGGGCCATCTTAATTAAAAGGTTTTTAAAGTTCAACAAAGACAACTGAACGCCAATCATTTAGTCGAGTGTCAGATTGGACAGTACACGTTATGTTTTCTTTCTGGAATTGAAGGCGCTTTTCCTTGATTTTTAAACGCTTCAGGTGTTCTGCCTTTCTGATTGTACGCTGCACAGTTGAAAGGTTTGCTTTTACTCCGGCCAATTCCTTGATCTTAGCAGCAGCTTTAGTCGAATTCAAAGCAATTCTAACAATTTGGCGTACTGCTTGTTTTCTCTGGATCCTTCAAATAACTCTCAATAGTTCTGGAGCTGCGATTTATTTGTTTCGATTGGACAGTCCTTGCGAGTGAAGAAAGTCTACTTTTTGACGTTCCAATGGGCTCATAACAGCAGCTTTTCCTCTGTTTTCTTCAAATGCAGCTGGAAAACACTTTATTTCTTTATTTTTGATATTTTTTCAATACATAAGCTTACGCTTGTCCACGAAATACGAAGAAATTTAAGCTGCGTCTAATTCAATGACCAACCGAAAATACGTGTGGTGGCCATAGAAATTTCTAAAATCTTCGAATGTACAGTTATTTTTTAGCAAATCAACCAGCTGTGAGCATTTTTTTTCGAACAACATTCGAACTTTGATAAGAAAAGCATTTTGGACGATTAGAAGAAGCATGATAATACATAATCGATCTTGTTTAAAAAAACAAAACGATTGTGCGTCCCACCTAAGAGCAACTACATTGTATGTAGTTTATAATTTTTTATTTACAAAAACAAACGTAAATTAAGCACTTTTAAGTTAGTGTCTCTGATCCAGTGGATCGCGCTGTATGTGAAAATGTATGAACATATATACAAACATATCACCTAATATGAATGTTATTAAAATTAGTTGACCTTATTAGACAAAACCTTTCGAAGCCAAAAAAAATTTCATACAAAGAAGAATTGAAAAATGTGCTACTAAAGGAATGGCAGAAAATTACCCCAGAAACCACACAACATTTGATAAAATCAACGCCAACCAGGATTCAGGCTCCTGTTAAGGTGAAAGGCTTTCACACAAACTATTAGAATTTAAGATTGAAAGTGATTTGTTATTGTTATTTTAGAATGAATTGAACTGCTTCAAAAAAGCTTTGATCTGAAATTCTGCAGTAATTTTAATTTTTTTACTTACATATGTATATTTGTAAATAAAATATTTTTTAATGGGCACACCTAGTGTAATGGTCTAAAAAAAGGCAATTTTTGGCAATTTTTATTAAAAAAAAAATACTTTATCAATTTAAAATTTTAAGAATATTTTTATACTGTATATTCTTAGTGAAATTTTTGAACAAAAAAATTAAATATTTATTAAGTTATAGTCGATCTCCAATGGCGCGAAAGAAAAGGTCCTTCACTGCTACAATGATTCCGGCCTTCTCCGTGGATGAAATCTAAAAAAACAGAAGTTCTCTACTAGATAATATTGTCTGTACAATGACCTACGATAAAAAAAAATCTAAAATTGACCATATGGCGGCGTTTTTAAAAAAAATAGTCGAATTTCACCCAAAATTTTGGACGTTTTTTGCCTGCCAAAATTCGATTTTTTGATCAGATCAAAAATCGATAGGTCATTGTACGGAGAACTATATATAGAACATGTAAAAAAAATCGATAGTGATCGGATCATTTGTTTTTGAGTAATCACTGCAACAAACTCGGAGAATGCTGTTTCGAGAAAAACGCGTTGGAAGATAAAATGATCGTTTTCACTCATAGCTAATGAGACTCTCTAGCCGCCGAGAGGCTGCTCTTTAAATTGCTATAACTCAAAAACTATTTGAGATATCGATTTGTAATTATCATATGTTATTATTAAAGGTGTAATATATCGAAATATGAAAGATCGATTTTTTTAAATTTCAAACTAGCAGGCCTATTCTGTCGAGGTAACAAAATTTACCTAGGTATTGAAATTTACCATTCAGTAAATTTTGTTACCATTTCGTATTCTGAGCTCACTGTTACCCTGTAAATTTTGTTACCAGCGAAATGGGAGGTAACAAAAATATCTGCTCTTTGATTTTGTGTCGTTAGTTTCAGAAAAAATAAAAACTTAAGTAAATGGAGTACATCATATGTATATGTAAATGAAATTCTTAACTCCATAATATATTGTTAAAATTTTTTCAATATTCTTTTAAGTTTAAAAAATTTATATCGACTGCTGTATAAAATAAGCTGTGGTCCACTGTATAACTATGTACGTAGATATGTATGTATATAAAATGTAAGTTAGTAAGTAGATAAGCTATACTCTAATTATAAAACTTTTTATAGCTGCGCAAAAAAAGGCCTAGACACGAAGTGTTTTTTTTTTTTGGCTTCTCTTTCCATAAAAATCAAATGTGCATAAAAAATTGATCTTGGTGTGGATAAATAATATATTTATATAAGTACATGTATGTACGTACAGCTGTATATACATATGTAGATACATATGTATGTACGCAAGCACGTAAATAGCGCATATCAAAGGTCATGTTTTGCGCTTGAAATGCTGCCTTCGAAGCGGCTGACCTTCTGATTTAAATGGCTGCTGCGGCGGTTGCGACGGTTGCGACGGCTACGCGTCACTGCTAGCGTTGTATGTACATATGTATGTGTGTAGCTGTGCCACTTGAACTTTTAAAATGTACTGTACATACGAGTGCATACGTGTGTATACATATGTATGTGCATACCGACTTATTTTTGCATGTTTAGACGTGTTAGCCAGAGCACGTGCATATGGTTGACCGAATCAAAAGAAGTCATGGTTAAAACACA